TTACAATTAGATGGGCAAGATAATGAGTACATTTCTTATCAAGCATTGTAGCCTCCTCCTTTGTTTCCCCTTCCCATCCCTTCCCAGCCTCCCCCCCCACCCCCTCAGAGGTTCTTAATTTTAATTTTAATGCTGAAAGCAGAGCTGTGGTAAAGTACAAACCTTGAGTGATAAACTGATGCAACATTGTCCAGGCCCTGAGTTCAATCCCTAGGATTAGCGTGGGTGGACATACACACACACACACACACACACACACACACAGTTCAATCAGCTTATTATAAGTACATATAAAGCTTTCTAATGGCCAGGAGCTGGTGACTCATGCCTATAATCCTAGCTACTCAGGAGTCTGAGATCTGAGGATCATGGTTCAAAGCCAGCCCAGGCAGGAAACTCCGTGAGACTCTTTTTTTTTGGCCTTTAAAATTTTTTTTTATTGTGGGGCTGGGAAGGTGGCTCAGTGGTAGAGCGCTTGCCTTGCATGCATGAGGCCCTGGGTTTGATTCCTCAGCACCACATAAGCAAAAAGAAAAAGGCCAGAAGTGGCACTGTGGCTCAAGTGGTGGAGCACTAGCCTTGAGCTGAAGAGCTGAGGGACAATGCCCAGGCCCAGAGTTCAGGCCCCACGACCGGGCCCCCTAAAAAAAATTTTATTGTAAAGATACTGTACAGAGAGGTTACAGTTACATGAGTAAGGTAATGAGTACATTTCCTATTGTGCATTGTTACCCCCTCCTTTGTTTTCCCCTACCATCTCTTCTCTCCCCACTCCCCAACTCCTCCCTCCCCACCAAGTGGTAAAGTTAGTTTTCAACATAGTGTCTTGTACATCTCATGGTTACAATGGGTCAACCTCTTATCTCCAATAAACCACTAGAAAACTGGAAGTGGTGGTGTGGCTCAAGCGGTAGAGTGCTCGCCTTGAGCTGAAGAGCACAGGGACAGTTGCTCTAGCCCAGAGTTCAAGCCCCATGACTGACCAAAAAAAAAAAAAACTTAATAATGATGATATCATCTGTACACGTTTTCTTATCTGGAGTTATTGGGCACCCCTTGTGTGCCATCACCCCTTCCCAAACCCAAGTCGAGACCAGTACAGTGGGTTAATGTCCACTGAAACAATTTCACCAGGGAGGAAACAGGAAATATGAAGAAGCCAGCAGGCAAATGAACAGCTAATCAACCCTCTAATCAGCACTTCCAAAGACATTTGTTTTATCTGATGATCAGTACTGACTATATAAGTTGGGGAGCTCAGAGGAAAATAAAAATGTGGAACTCAACTGCAGGAATCGTGGTGAGTTTCAAAACACAGTGACAACATCATTTTAAGCAAAGCTCATTGACCTTGTAAATGTGGGCCCTGTATGATTGCCTAGGTCTTATATTCATGAATGAGCCCTATGGGAGACAATCAGAGACATCCAGCAACCAATTGAATTTTGTAAAACTGCTGCCAGTTCTACAACTGATCCTTTTTATTGTTTTTGTTTTTCTTTTGCCCTCATGTTTGTTCTCCCAGGATTATGCGCTCTCTTCTTGTAAGCCTTAACAAGCACACTCTTATCTAATGTGCTGTTATGGAAACTTAAGTCTATGATTTCAATGACACCATGTAACCTGAGTTTTTATTTCTTATGAAAAAAACATAAGTATTTTATACAAGGGCATTATTTGTTTGATGCTGTTATAATAAATTTGCATGTAAGGTAGAACTCCTAGATTATTATATCTCTAATGTTTATCTTTGGAAGTCAAGAATATTAAGAGCTTTTTGGAGCCAGGGTATTGATGGTTCACATCTGTAATCCTAAGTACACAGAAGACAGAAAAAATCATTGAGAGACTAAAAAAAAAATCTTTTCTTCTGTTTCGTTTTCCTTTCTCATTTGTATCTAACCTCTACCTATCCTTTTACTTGCAATAACATGGACAGAATTTAAATGTGTACCAAGATTTCTTAAAAAGTACATATTCATGCAGTAAATATTCTCATCTATTCTGCATAAAGCACAACAATAAGTATTGATGGACATTCTTATGATTACATTGACATTGATCCTTACCATTCTTCATATACCATAAAAATAATAGCAGAATATTCAACTGAGAAAAAAAAGTCATAGCAAACAAATGGTTTTAAATCAAGCTATAGTAAATAGGGAACTTCTGATATAAAGACCCAAGATCCAAGGCAACCTTTCTCTTTTTACATTTAAGAATGTAAGTATTCTTCATGGATAAAACAGTACGATCTAATGCCAACACAATGAAGAGGAAAACTCAGCAAGCCTGTTTTTTTCAGACTTAACTTGTCTTCTCTGTTTAATAATTTAGCTGTTTCTGTATTGAACAATTAAAAGATGCAAGTTATTATCATCTCCTAAGTGAAAGTTGAAGTAATTATCTCATTTTTATTAGTTGCTCTTAAGTAGAAATATTACTATTGTGGCCTAAGTGTGGTCTAGGTATACATTTTTTTGTTTGTTTGTTTGTTTTTGGGTGCGGTCTTGAGGCCTGAATTCTGGGCCTTGGTGCTGTCCCTCAGCTCTTCAGCTCAAGGCTAGCGCTCGACCACTTGATCCACAGTGCCACTTCCGGTTTTTTCTTTTTGCTTATGTGGTGCTGAGGAATCGAACCCAGAGCCTCATGCATGCATGCACTCTACCACTGAGCCACCTTCCCAGCCCCATGTATACATTTTTAATGCAGAAAGTTACCATGAAATTATTACTGCTATCCAGTAAAAAAGGGCATCTTACATTCTATGCATTTTAGGTTCATTGGTTGAGACCCCTGTAACACAAGATTCATTAACAAAACAAATTTATTTGAATTTTCTGTGACATGAGAACTTTCAGAAGGAAATGCAAGACCTAAAGAAAAATTAAAATTGACTGATTTTTGTATTAGTTTTGCTAAAGAATATGAAGTCCTGAGAAGATGTAGCAAGGAGAAGAAAATATAAGCTAGATGTAAAAAACTAAGGGGGAATTTAGCAGGCCCTAATTGTTTAGATTCTTCTCCCTATTTCTTTATCTTCATAGATTAGGATGGTTCACTTAGGGATTAATATGGACACCTCTTTCCACAGGCACCTGTGGCTCATACCTGTGCCTCACGCCTGTAATCCTAGTTATTCAGGACTGTGAGATCTGGGTATCAAGATTTGAAATGAGCCCAGGCAAGAATGTTCATTTGATTCTTATCTCCATTTAACCATTAACAAAGTTAAAAGTGGAGCTATGGGTCAAGTGGTAGAATGCTAGCCTCCACAGCAATGAAACTTAGAAATCACACTCAGGCCCTGAGTTCAAGTGCCACAACTGGCCAATTAAAAACAAACAAAATGTAAAAGGACACTTGTCAATCAAGTCTGCTTCAGTGGACCTTCACTAAATACCTCCCATACTTGTTGATTCTTAGATTCCCTCAACATAAACTATGCCAAGGAACTATACCTTGGAATTCTATATTTTGGCTCCCCGTCCTTACATACCAAAGGACACAACTAGCTGACCAATTTCAGATCTTTAACTTTCCAGCCAAACAAGTATAGAAGGAGAATAATTAGCAAGTCTATACATGAAGAAACTGTTTTTTTTTTTAAGTCAGAATTATTTTGTTCATAGCAAACCCATCCTTTCAATAAAGCAAGCCATGATTCCTGGACCATTAGTAAATTTTTAGCAAGATAAAACTGTCTTAGTCTAATCCAATAAAGAGTAATTTCTAAACTTGTCAGATCTAAACAAATGGAACTAAATTGAACAAATCTATTTGAACTGACATTAATAAGGGGAAAAATTAGTCTTTAATGTTGTTATTTGATTTTCAATCATGAACTTCTATGTAAATTTAAGGTGATTTCTCCTTGTTGAGTTATAAAGGTATGCCTGTCAGTGATGAATTTGTATCAGAGTAGTAGGGCTAAAATTTGTCAGGTTGATTTTTGTCATCCTCTTTAATTTTTCATTGTAATACTCATATATGTATAGGAGAGACAAAAATTGCTTTTAAAAATATTGTAATGTTTTTCTATTTGTGTTTCATTGTGTTTAATTAAAGAACAGTGTTTGAGGGGTGTGGTTAAAAAGCTTATTTACTAGCAATCTATCAACTTGTGTCTTCAATTAAAACCTGCCCCATGCTAATGATATTGATAGATATATCTTTGGACACAAGTGGCAGTCATGCAATAATAGAGTATCTATAAAATGGTTATGTCTATTTAAAGTACCTCTTTGAAAAAGAAGACATTGTGAGAGATCTAAAGTATGCATGTATTTAAGAGCAGCTTGAATACAACACTAAAAATTATTAGCTGTCACTGAGAGAAAAAGAACAGTGCAGAGAGTGTTAGGGATAATTAAAGCAAGTAATGATAGTGTTGGAGGACACACTGAAGCTTTTGCGTTTGTATGTGCATATGTGTTCACTCAAGTCTGCTCTAAATTCTTTTTGTAACAAAACTTATTTTTCATATCTCTTTTGAGAATGGAAACTTCTAAAGATGGAAACTTTTAACCATAGGTATTCGTTTATTAAAATCCCAATATTTTAACAGAAAGAAAAATATTTGATCCTTTCCTATAATGTAACCTTAAATAATTTATAGAGCCAAGAACATACATTAATATGATAAAGTCTCTTTGAACCTTAGTTTCTCTTTAATCTTCAAATTTGATTTTAAAGAATGAATTATTAGGAATTCCATCAATAAATTTAAGTAAAAATGGGTTCATCTGAGTAAAATGGTGACATTCCTATATTAAACATGATGATTTGGTGTATTATATTACACATTTTCATTTATTTCTTGGTGAGTAGAATTTTTATGAGCAATAATTCAGAAAAAATGTGAAAAAACTCATGAATCCATTGTCCGTATTAAGTACACACACACACACACACACACACACACACACAATCAATTTTCAGTTGTTTTGTGAAATATGTGATCAATAATTCTAAATGTTTTATATGTTTTTCCTCAGTTTCAGCCCAGATTCTCAAGAGCAGTCTTACAGCCATGGGAGAACAAATCGCCTGTCTGGAAGGTGACATCAAGAGATTTCCAGAACCAGAAAGCCCGCATGATAAGTTTGTGGAAAAGATGAAGATATCCTTTATTTATCTAAGTGTTTATTAGTCCCTATGTCTGTCTGTCTGTCTACTTATTATCTACTATTGGTTAGTTCTATATTAATCTATAACTAATAAGTGGTGAATAACTATGCTGTATCACTGTCCAGATGAATTTGTGTATATACTTTTTAAAAAAATATTAGCAGCAAAAGTTCTGTTTTATATTATTTTAAACAAGGTAGAGTAGGCAAAAGAGCAATTAGATCAGAGAAATTGCTGTTTGTCAAAGAAGAATTTCACTGGAAAGTCTACAGGATATGCAAGGTAAGTCCTGGGCAGATTGAGTAAACTTAAAATGAGAATCTTTTTATGTAACCAAGTACTTAAATGTGATGATGAGATTACAAGTTTTTTCTGAGATTTTTCTTTCCTCTTTTGATATATACAAGTGCATATTATTAGGGAACATATAAATGTCATAGGACAATCAGAGGTGAGTCTGTTCTGTAAATGAGGATGATTGGGAAGAATAAATGGATAAATGGATAGTCAGATGAATGGACCAGTAGGGGATACATTTAAACCAGTGATAAGTATATATAACATTTAGCATTCCTGGCTAAATATTTTTGAAACCCTAATTTTACATCTAAGTTACAAAAACTTATGAAAGAAGAACTTGAGAAATTGAATTGTTTAATGTTAAAGCTGGTGTCTGAAGATAAACAACAATAGAGCTGACAAATTTTTCTTCCTATTTTGGTTTTAAAAAGTTAAAGCCATATCTTTTCTACTGGGTTTAAATAACTATCTTGAACTGCAGATTGATTCACAATTTTATATCTCTAGAGGGAATAAATACTGTAAATTGTTTATCTGATAATAAGTAAATTTCTTCAACAACTATAGGGGAGTCACCTTGTTTCAAGGTTATATGTGATGGCTTTTTCTTCTCTGATCCACTTTTTTCTAGCCTGAGTTAGGCGTCAAGATGCTTAATCTGAGAATTACTTAGAGTGGCTACTTAGACTTATGTAATAGTCATTTTTATTTGTTTTGGTTCATAAATTAACACTGTGTTTTTTGTGGTCCTTCAGTGATAATGAGTACTTTCAAAAATAGAAATACTGGAAGCATAAGTTTATGAGTGATTTGAAGCAAGGAATCCTCAAATATTTTTACATTGAATGACTAACCATATCAGTTTCGTTTTTTTTAGTTGATTTTTTAAAAATCCAACTCTCATATTGTCCCGTGGATGCATACATACACTTTTGCTTGTTTGTGTTTTCTGTTTTGATTTTGGTTCATGCCTCATATCTTTTTTTAATTCAATTCCTATTCCTCTTGTTCTTTTCAACATTTTCTTCTACATTTGGCTTATGTCTACACAACAGCTTGCAACACTGACTCTTTGTTGCTCATTTAGCAAAAGAAAAGTAATTTAAAACCCTTATGAACTTGGCCTGGACTCCCTATTTTATTTCTCTATTTATGCAGGTAATTAAGCACTTTAAAATGAAAATCCAGAGCCTTCTGTTTCTGTATGTTACAGATGAACAGCTATTCTTCATTTAAGTGGCACTAAAGTGTGATTATTTGTCCACAAGGGAATTGAAAATTATATTAAAATGCATGGGGCTTTTAATTTGCATATCAGTTTAAAAAACACTAAACAAAATACACATTTATTTCAGAGTAAAAACTTTTGTTTAGTTGAGTTGGTTAAAGTTATAAATAACAAAATACTGAAATACAGATATAGTTTAACCCATTGTAACAATGAGATGTACAAGACACCATGTTAAAAATGGACTTTACAGCTTGTAGAGGGGAGGGAGAAGTTGAAAAAGTGGGGAGGGAAGGGGCAGTAGGGGAAAAACCAAGGAGGAGGTAACAGTGATCAATAGGAAATGTTCTCATTACACTACTCATGTAACTGTAACCCCTTTGTAGAGTATTTTTACAGGAAGTGGCGCTGTGGCTCAAGCCGTAGAACGCTTTCCTTGAGCTGAAGAGCACAGGGACAGTGCCCAAGCCTAGAGTTCAAGCCCCACAACCCACCAAAAAAAATTTAAAAAAAGAGTATTTTTACAGTATATATATACTGTAATATATATATATATATATATACATATATATTCCTCTGAAAAGGAATGGAAACTCTCCTAGGGAGGTGCTACTCTTTTTTTTCTATCTTAAATATCCTTATTTTTTATTATCATTGTAAATTTGATGTACAGAGGGGTTACAGTTGCCTAAGTCAGGTACTGAGTGCCTTTCTTTTTGAACAATGTTACCTCTACCCTTGTTTTCTTCGGTTTTTCCCTTCCACCCCTCCCCACAAGTCATATAGTTCATTTTCAACATAGTGTCTAGAGAGTATCACTGCTGAGTTCATTCTTTGTCCACCATTTCTCTTCCCCCCCCCCGCCCCGTACTCCCCCCAAACAGACAAAATTACATACAATACAAATGGTACAGAAAACAAAAATGCTAACAATGGTGAGGAGGGGAGCAAAATAACAAGAAAAAACCCCACTTGTTTCTATTTCTTGGAGTCTTTTCAATAAATATCACTTTATATTTAAAAATTATACATTAGTGAATTACAGCAATAAAATATTGCTCAGATTATTTCCTCTTTTGAAGATTCCAACCTTCCAGAAAGTAACAAGATAAATAATCATCATAGACATGTGAATTCTGATGCCTTCTTAATATTTTTTCTACCCTTCTGGCTGTTCAAAAAGAGAAGAAAAATTTTATAACAGGGCCCTTGATCTTGCTTTAATATCACAATCAAGTGGGCTGGGAAGATGGCTCAGTGTTAGAGTGTTTGTTTCACATGCATGAGGCCCTGGGTTCAATTCCTCAGCACCACATAAGCAGAAAAAGCCAGAAATGGTGCTGTGGCTCAAGTAGTAGAGTACTATCCCTGAGCTGAAGAGCTGCAGGACCACACCCAGTCTCAGAGTTTAGGTCCCATGGCTGGCAAAAAAAATAATAATAATAATTAGAATCATGTTTCCATTTCTAGACAGATTCTTTGTAGTAGATAATGTTTCCAGTGTTTCTTTCCCTTTCCTGTTAGTTGTTTTGCTTCAGGTCACTGGCCCTCTAAATTGGATATCTGTAGGCCCACATACTGATCCAAGCAGTTTTTCTTCAAGGGAACCTTACACTACATAAAGATTAATCTCATTATAAGAAGCAAGTTCAAAATCCCCCTTGTACTTCTTGGCCTATGAGCTTTGAAAACACCAACAAGGCTAGAGTTTGTAGCAATGGAATGCATAATATCTACAGAACAAGTGAATATGAAGGTACAAAGGCAATACATTCTGAGATCATGCTATGTCATAATAGCACCATAATAATACCATAATAGCACCCACTGACAGTTTCCTACTTATATGCTCTCCATGTTCTTTCCCCCTCATCAATAACACTATCTAATTTTTAATGCATATTTTTATTGTAAAGATACTGTACAGAGGGGTTACAGTTACATGAGTAAGGTAATGAGTACATTTCCTATTGAACATTGTTACCCCCTCCTTTGATTTTCCCCCTACCATCCCTTCCCTGCCTACCTCCCCAACTTCTCCCTCTATGTTGAAAATTCATTTTCAACATAGACCATATAAGATGATGCTAAGCAAAATGAAACCCAAGATTGACACACAAGAGGTTTTATCTTTGTTGCTCTTGTTTTTTAATGTACCTATAATGTTCTATGTGATTTTTTTGTTTCTTTTATGTGTTCTTCCCCCATAGTATAACCCCTGTTTTAACTGCATTTGATTCTGGTGCCCTGCACCTTGTATATAGATTTTTCTAATTTGGGGAGGGGAAGGGAAATAACAAAATGCCGGAAAAGGATACAGGTTGACCCATTTTAACAATGAGATATACAAGACCCTATCTGATTTTTTTAAGTATCATATGTATATCACAATTCCCAACACCTCATAAGTATATAGCTCTTAAGTCCAGGCTTCTGTGTTTATTTAGCACACTAAAAAGTACATGATCAAACAGGGATGTGCTGTCCTTATAGTTTAAAACAATATACAATATATATACTATATACAATATATATACTATATACTATATACAATATATATATACTATATACAATATATATACTGTATATACAATATATATATTGTATATATACTATATACAATAGTATATAGACCAACACAGGAACTTAATTATCATTAAATCACCTTTTTAGAGCATAGCAACAAAAAGGTATAATCTGCATTGTAAAGAGATGGTCCTTGCCTTTTAAAGTGACTTTCAAAAATGAAAGCAAACAGCAAAATGAAAAGGAAAACTCTTCTATGAATTGAGTTGCTAAAGTTGTTTCTAGCCTCCCAAACCCAGTGTCTGTTTTGGACTAAGCCCATTTTCATTTTTACTATCCAGTATAACTTGGTTTCTCATTCTTATTCAAAAGAAAATAGTGTGGAGAATAAATTCTCTCTACACCTATTGCAAGATTCCTGCTAGCAAAATGGCATCAGAGATATTGACAAATGAATGAAATGAAATGCATGGAAAAATTAATTTCAAAAAGTTCATTTCTTTTCTTTTTTTATTGTGAAAATACTGTACAGAGGGGTTACAATTACATGGGCAAAATAATGAGTACATTTCTTATCAAGCATTGTAGCCTTCTCCTATGTTTCCCCTTCCCATCCCTTCCCATCCTCCCTCTCCCCCCCACCCAATACTCCTCCCCCCACCACCAAAGTTGTACAGTTCATTTTGACATAACGACTTGTACATCCCATTGTTGCAATGGGTCCACCTGTATCCCTATTTAAATGATTTTTTCCCTTCCCCTCCACAAATTGTACCAACATCAAATACAGTGAAAGCAGGGCTTATACTGTGGGGGAGGGACATACAAAGCAACAAAGAAATCATCTTATAAATGTGTTAGAAACAATCGCATGAAAGAAAAAGAACATTTGAATACATATCTTAGGGTTCATTTCCCTAACATCAACTTATCTGACC